TCCTAGGAGAACTTAATTTTTTCGGGCCGAGTATAGCAAACCAAAGGCACTGAACACCATCCTGGTCGAGCGGGTTCAAGAAGTCGATCCTCTGGCAAAGTTTGGTTTTAAGAATAGTTTTTAACACAGACAAGCATATTTCCCCGAGGCTTTGCGTTCTCATGAATCACAGCACATTTCTTCCAAAGCTGACAGACGAGCGAAAAAACTGATGATTGTATTTTCCTTTTGAGGTCTATATAAAATGTTTTAGAAGGCTCCAACCCCCCGTCCCATCGCCTTTTTCATATAGTTGAGCTTTATCGCTGTTTTTTTCTGCATCACGCAGCTTGCTGTATCGACTGCCTGCGGGTTCTATGCGCACAACAAAAGTCCCTGGCGTGGACGAATTCTCCGCACGCCCTAGGCAACTGCTTACTGTTTCTGTCGACGGACAATCGTTTAAGAACGGTTTCTTGATACTTCGCCTCTCGCACTATGGTCCAGTACGTCCTCTGACTTAACGCTTCTCCCCGCCATGCAGTCACGACATTGTTAAGACATTTCTCATACCCAGCTCCTTGGTTTATTTTTACAAGGCTTCCCTTCTATACGAGTCGGTTCCAGCTGCGCGCATTGACGTCTCTCAAACGCTTCCGCTGCCAAATTGGTATCCTTTCAATTCGCCGATTTTGTTGAACCGAACGCAGCCGCCCGATTGCCACAGCGCTACCTCTTGCTCTCAGACGCCTGTCTTCTTTCGGTTTTACCTGCGTGCTTCCAACTTCGCTCATGGTCCAACTTTTCCGTCCCCAGTGCTTTCAATTTCTATGTCAGACTGCAATGCATCGCTTGGTATGTCACCATACGCTGTTAGCTACACACTAGAAATTAGCAAGGCAAACTTACCTACTAACTTAGTTTGAGTAGATAATTTTGGTGCGTTTAAATATACTCAGCTGTTCTTTTTGTCGTGTTCTTTTCAGGGCAATTTGGTTTGGCGACTGTCTACTTTCCCTGGGACAACCAAGTATATCACATGAAGTTGCGGTATGTAAGAATTAAAACGGCATACATATGCTAAGCTTTTCTACGCCTTGCTAACCCCGATACCCATTTTTGCAGTAAAAACGAGGAGAACAAGATTGTTTTGCGGTCACTCTCCCCGCAGAAATTTCGCCCTGAACTCTCGGATCCCTATGTCGATGTCATTCTTGAGCCCACCTGTCAGTCGGCCGATGTAACTGTGTATTACTCCTTCTCCCAGTGGCTTTGTCAGGTAAATGAATCCGTCTTAAGAAGGCTTTTCGCTGGCATGTGTACATGCTTTATTTAAAGGTATATGCTTTGTTGTTCCGACTGTAGAAGGTCTTAAGTCTGTGCACTAGCAGGGCGTTTCTGGCGTCATTTGCCTCGGTAAATTTCATGTCGTCATCAATGGACTTGCGCATTTTTTCCAC